GCCGCTCCGGTGGGGGTGGGAGCACTTCTGTCGCCCGGACTTGAGACCCCGCTTCATGCCGGTTGGAGCAGAAGTGTCAGTCCCGTGGAGGTGCCCGAAGCGCAGTGTGTTGTGTGTGTGTGTGTGTGTGTGTGTGTGTGTGTGTGTGTGAGTGAGTGCGCGCGCGCGTCTACACCAGCTGAAACTCGCTTGCTTGGGGGTAACGCTTGTCCGGAGCTGGTTTCCTCTCCCTTGCCAACCAGCCGGGCCTTCCTGAGAAACGCGTGGGCATCTTTCGAGGTGCGGTGGGGCTGCAGAAGAGGGAAGGCACCCGGGAGGGAGCTGACAATTTACCGAGCATCTCAACCTGCCAGGTGCTTTACCGAGAGTTGACCTCATTTCATCCTCTTCACAAACCTGTGAGGAGGGTGGAATCATCCCCATTTCTCAGATGTGAAAACGAAGGTGCACGGAACTCTTGAGGCCACCAGGCTTGATAGCGGTGGGTCTGGGATTTGAACTCAGATCTGCAGACCTCTCCCATCCAGCTAGATAAATAAACACACAGAAGAACTAAAGACCACCAGGAAAAAGACTAGAGCCAAAGCATTTTAGAATTAATAGGGGGTGGGGGGAGGAAACGAGTTTGTGAAATATTCCCTTAATTAATTTCAAATATAGGAGCATATTTACACTGCCTTTCACGTCTGGTTCTGGGGGCGGTGTTGTGTGGCAGGGACCGCACCAGTGCTGGGCAGAGGCGTCTGGGGACACCTTTTCAGAGTATCCGCCTGCTGGAGTAGGGGGTGAGGAGAAGTTGTGGAGGGAACTCAGTTGTTATTCATCCCCAAGTGAGTCATCGTCCACCTCACCCCCTCCCTGTTGACTCCGTTTCATTTTCTTTTCTTGATGAAAAGCTGTCCAGGGCGACGGCTCTCAGATTGAACCTGGGTCCTGCCTTTGCTGTTGTCCTTCATGAAGCACCTTGGCGTTGGGTGGTCCTGTGCTTTGATGAGCGTTAGAGGCTGTGAAGTTGGTCTTAGTTACTGCTTGCAGAGGTGATCTGTTGGACTAGTGTTGACTTAGCAATCACAGTCACAATCAATGGGGCATCTAGAGCAGTAGTCAAGCATCGTGCTTATCCTTCAGGGGCAAGGTAGCAAGAAACAGGGGCCCCGGGAAGTAAAAAAGGAAAGGGATGTTGGATTCGCCTGGCAGCCCAACCTCAGAATAGCATTTCAGTTTAATATTTGGATTGCTTTAGGTGGTGCCGTAAAATGCTTCACTGGAGAAAGAACAGAGAGGCAGAAAACGATTTCTGAAAGATGCTCTTTAACTCACTCCATTTAGGTCTGAAAGGTCTTCGAGCCATGGTCTTTGATGGTGAGCTAAAAGAAGTGGAAGAGGGAAGGAGTCCCTGCATGAGAATCCCATGAGGCCTGAGAATAACAGAAATGTTCTCAGCATTATCACAGCCAGATTTAGGCAAAACTGGTGGAAGAAAATACTGGACTTCACAAGGGTTTCGGGGCTACGCTGTATCCCTTTAGAGCTTTTTGCCATCTTTGGTGTGCTGGGTGCATTCATTCCCGACCGCCAGCCTCTCCTCTTCGTGGGAGGATGACCTTAGGCTGCTAGGAATTGGTCAGTAGGAATTGAGAGCAAGGAGTACCTGTAAATTGTACTGGGGGCAGCCCCTAAGCAACAACTGAGAGGCGCTGGAGTAAAAACAGTCCAGCTCTCTTGCCCTTGATTAGGACACTCCCAAGTACTTTGTCTCCAGAGACTCACCGTAGAGTTGTCAGTTGACTTCCGTGAGTCTTCGTTGAGCTTGTTTCTCTTTCTTGTCTCTCTTCTTCACTCCCCTGCCACTTTTTCCTAGTAATACTTGCTAATGAAACACTTTCACAGGGATTCTTATCTTGGGATCAGATTCTATGGATCTGTTCACTCTCAACACTTTTTTCCTCCGATGAGATCTAAGTAAAACTGTATCATCAGTAATGGGTAACCTATGCTGGTCTCTCAAGTGCTTTTGTATGAACTTGCACAAGATGCCTCCTTCTGGGAAGATGGAGCCCTGTGCTTAGGCACAGGATTAGCAAGCAGGGGTTCAGTGCCCAGCAGCCCCCTCGTCGGGGTGCCTTTGGTGGTGCATGGTGCCCAACAGAAGGGATGGTGTGGCGCTTGGTCTTGGTGCTCAGAAAAGCAAAACAAGATGGAGAGTTGCTTACTTGTCCCAAGATCTCATCCCTTGGCTTCTCTCATCCCTCCTTTTCCCAGTTCAAGGGAAATTTTCCTCCCACGTTTTTCTAAATATTTGAATATTTCGGGCAGATGTTTTTGTTTTTCTCTGGTGAAATGTCAAACAGGTTAAATGTCTTGGCTTCTTTCTAAAGCTAATAAACGGACAGGAAAGGCTATCTTGGCTAGTGGAACCACAATACCACAGACTGTAGGGGGACTTCGCCCGCTTAGCCTTCCAGGGGGCCTCTGCCTTGCA